CACATCAGTCAATTTCTTTCTGGCTTGAACAGCATTTTTACCCTTTCTGTAGTAAAACAGTAAGATATGTCGAAAATGCTGCTTATCGCTCTCCATATTTAAAAGGGCACCAACCAAAAACTACTGCGTAGAATTAATTGGAATTTTTCACACACAAGCCTTGCTATATGAGCTCTCAAAGCATATAAAAATTATACGGCTTAAATGTGAAGTTGGGTGCAAAAGAATACAATTAAATCCTCTGTCGGGAAAAAACGAAATGACTTTCCGAACAACCCGATAGATACATAAAACTTTTGCGATTAATATTATTTTTAAAAGAAACTTTTCTGTCACGATGCCCCTTAACAACTTTTAATACTTCTAATTACCGGCTTCGATGGGTCACCCTGTATACGCATATACTTCATGCTGTATCCAATATGGCAGATTCCAGGTCCAAGCACTCCTACGATTTCTTTGAGATATTTTGGGCAAATTTTCCACAGAAATTTTTCTGTTCCCTTCCTTTTCTCTTCATTTCGTCCCTCTTATATTTCTACCACCACTTGAAAGGAGGATGCGGAGGGCCTTCCGCCTTACAGTCCCGCTTTGCTCTAGATTAATTTTGTATCCTGACAAGAATATTAGCTTGTGACATAAGTCTCTTTATTTCCAGAAGTATTCATCTCTAATGATACAGGTTTCCAAGAATTGAGCAGCTTCTATATTTTGTAGGAAATTGAAAAAGCTTTTTACAGCTTGCTCTTGATAAAAAGATGTCAAAAATTATTTGTTTTTCATTTTAGGGATTGATTCGATGCGATTTTTAAAGCAATGGCAGTCTTTGCACTGAATTTTTTATATTATAGCACTTGTGACTGCTGCGGTTGTTTATAATACTTCCATTAAAAATAATACAGAATCATAGAGGTAATTAAATACATACATAAATAGAATCTGCTTGTGATAGATGAGCCTAAGAATAATGAATTTAATTTATTATTACAAATCTGTTTGATAAAAGAAAGCTTAATGAATGCTCCTGGTTGAAATTCATAACGAACGAACAAGATTTGGTAATGCAATGGAAAGGGGTTCTCAGGATAGTTTAGAAGGAAAGAGGAATACAAGGAAAGCTCTTATTTCGTCCAAAGGATTTGCTTCAGCCACCAGATTAATAAACCAACATCTGTTCGGTATCCAAAGCCTTGGTGGAACCAAAACAGGTAGGAGATCGAGATAATTCTTGCTTCCTTAAAAGGTAAACGTTAAATACTTTTTAACAGGAAAGAACTGCGAAAGTAAATCTTCACTTTCCATGGATTCCGTAGATAGTAGAACGGGTTCATCTGTAGAACACCACAAAAGATCAAAATCAATTCTCAAGAAATCAGACGGAGGAGGAAGCCACAAGAACAACGCAGATCCTGAAAGCGAGAGACTGATCCAAGACAACGCATCGAACGTAGACATGGAATTTTCATCCCCCAGTAAACAACGTTTCTCCTCTCCTCCTTCCATCCATAGAGCACTCAGCCAGAAAACCCTTAATAGAACTATGACAACCAATCCAAAAACCACAGTGGATAAAGCCCTATCATCACCGTTGTTCCTTCTAGACGACTTTAATAAGAAACAAAGTTATGGTGAACAAGTGACTGGAGACAGGGTGAAGCAGTGTGGTAACAACATCAGAGACATACCCCTTTACATTTGCCCCCCTCCTCCACCCATGGATCAGTCCCCTACGGAAGAGACCAGGTTGCTTTTGAACCCCTCGGGGACATCTNGAGTACCATGTGGTATTTAATTTATTGACTTTATATATTCATCGGTTTATATTTACAACAATAATGTGGTTTTAACTATTTATTTCTATTAATTTATTTATACCATTAATTTCTAAGTAATATTTTCAACTTATTACATGTGCTATTAATTATTTATACCAACAACGTTTGCATTTAGTTAACTATCAACATGTAGACCTACCTTGATAAAGTCTAATAAAAATGGGTAAAACATGGAATTTGGTTTTCAAATAAATAAATATTTACGCCTTAACTGATAAAAGATTGCATTACATACAACAAATACATTGAGAGAATACATTAACAACAATAAAGACAAAACAGACAATAGATACCGGTCATGTGTTTAAGAATTGAACTGCAACTCATGTAATAAAATTTGTGTGAGACAGACTGGACATACTTTTAAAAAACGAGTAAGTGAACATAAAAAATTCTTTGATTATAAAGAGTTTTATTTTAATTACGTTAATATACAATCCAGATCATAATTCTATCATTATAATTCTACTATTTAAAAATTATGAAGATAAAAGTTGAAAACTCTCTTTTTTTCAATAATCAATCAAACATTAATAATTCATCACTTCCGCATTGGGTAAATTCTATTGATATACTGATGAAGTTTTATTAATTATGTGAAACAATAATTATGAGGTTTATTTTATATACTTTTGTGAAAATTATTAACACATTGGGTATTTCTGTTAATGTTGAAAATTTATTTTATTGAAAATGATATATTATGTACAATTCTTGTACTTTTAAAGTAACTAATCGTTGTAATATAAAATTTTTAATTAATTAATGGCATAGTCAAAATTTATTAATAGATTATTATTGTTTATTGACTGTTTTAATTCGATAATTTATTTATCAACGATGATTTAGAAATTATTGAAATTTATCTTTAAAAAATTGAAACTTATTTTTCTAAAATACTATTTGCATTCCATTTATTAGTAGATATTATTTTCATGAACCAGGACAGTCGTGAAGCTCTCTTACGTTCTTTGTTAAAAATAGATTTATTAAATAGTTAAAATAAAGCTTAATTTTTGTCTGTGATTAAAACGCTATAAGTAGGACTTCTCCATATTT